AGTATACAGAAAAGGTATAATAAAGAAGTTGTAGAAAACTTGGAAAAGATTATATCAAATTAAATAAAAATAAATTAAGTTGTCATTTTTTGAATAAATGTAAGGTTTATGGATTAATACCAATATTTTTAAATTTTAAAACTGCTAATTTTAGGTTCAAAGAATTAAAACAATATAAAGAAACTCGGAAAAGGTATTTAGAAAGTGACATTAAATATAAAGAGAAGACATTTAAAAAGCTTGAAAAAATAATTGAAAATAAATTACAGTTAATTAATAACTGTATTAATAATATAATTAATAATAAATTTAAAAGTTAATTAATAACGTTGACTTCTTTTGTTTGAATAATAAGATTATAAGAAATAACAACACTAAACTGATAGAAATAAGATTAGTTCAGAATAAAAAAAATTTAAACTTGAAGAAAAAAAAACAAATTAGTAAATCCTTTTCGATTAATCCTGATGATGTGATAGTAAATTTATCAAATTATTTTTTAAATGATATTGAAAAGAAAGCATTATCTAGAGGATTAGGGTTTGCAATCACTCCTAAGAAATTGGAATTTCATGATTATTTATTAGGATTTGAACTCTTATTAAAGGATCTTAAGTGTTGTAAGGTTAATTCATCTGCTCAAATTAATTTTGATAATGTGTGTACACATATTACTAGTGTTACGACAGCGGAAGTCACGTGACACTGATAACACGTCATGAGATTCTAGAAGGATCATGAAGGCCCAAGCTTTTTCTAGGCGCCCTCTACTTTAATATATAAGCCCAACAAATAAAGCAGAAAAGAAGTGATGGCATAGATAATTGCAGACAGGAGGTTCTTATTTTATATAATAGCTTGTCAGTATTGATAATTTGAGTTCCTAATTTGTAATAAACAATAGATTTTGTATATGGACATCATAAACATCTAATCTGAACCAATACTGCATTCAACATTCTTTTTCATATTTACTTTTAAATTAAGAAATTAACTAATAAATAAAATATTATTTAGTTAAAATAATAACTAAAATTTGAATTACAATCTTATTGACATATATTGCTAAAATAGTAGTTCAATAAAATTTACAAACATGGCCTTTGGCCCATGACCCTAGAAAGATCCGTCAAACATGTCTCAGTAGGGTTAATCTTCACGATCTTTTACTTTGTTACTCAACGTACACATTGCAATGACCTTTGCTCTCTAAGAACCACATGACTCTTTAATCCTTCCTGTTTGCCTCCTGCTGACCCAACTGCTTCCATGAATTTCTAGACTTATCAGTTTTGTATGATGAGTATTTTATCTTCAGACGTATGTCTACTTTTTACATAATTACTGTTCTTCTTCGTTGAGACCTTCTACCACATATAGCAAAATGCTTTGCTCACTTACTCTGGATATTGGACTACAACTAATAATTTTCCTGGTAGTCAAGGTATATTTTCAGAATCTGCCTTTTTGTGAAAGTCAATTATTTTCAATGCATCTGTATATAATGCAAGAAAATATAGAAGAAGCCTGTTCTTTTAAATACAATGTGTGGATTTTGATTATACTTAATGAAGTATAAATTATATTGAGTCTTATTATAGACAAACCTACATTTTTTATTCTAGATCCTATTTATTCTTCTAGATCCAGGAAAAGCTGATTCCTTGGAAGAAAGTTCTCTACATACAATTTTGAAGTTTGATGTAACAAAAGATGAGCAAGAAGAAAAGTATGATGGAGCATCAGAGAAAAATGAGGTAATTAAACTTTTTACAGTTGCGTTATTAAAGATAATATGTAGCTGTAATTGTGTCTTTCTGGACTTTGTTTGTTTGGCATCTAATTAGTAATGACATGTTTGTAGTCACAAGCTGAAGAAATTCACTAAACGTTTGCTGCATTGTTGTAAATAACCTCATTACAGCTTTTTTTTTTACAGCAGTAATGTTACTAGTCCACAAGAATATAAACATGTTTTATGAAGAGAAACAGCCAGGACCCAGTGAAAATCCTAGATTTGCTTTTAAGTAATAATGGTTTCAGGTTTGTCGAATCAACTTACCTTCAAAATCAAGGATTAGCCATAGGTAATAGGGTGGCTGTTGTAAAAGGTGGATGTGTAGGCTAGTTGTTGGAGTTTGATTTTACCACCAGTTACAATAGATTTATATAAAATCCAGGAACGCAGTCGTGAGTGGAGTACACATGTCATTAACTTCAGGAAGTTTACATTTAGAATAAAGAATTGACTCTGAAACTGAGGTTCAAATGCTACAACACTTTAATACTGTTACGAAAGCGGAAGTCACGTGACGCTGGTAACACGTGATGAGTTTCTAGAAGGATCGGGGAACATCACGAATAATCCAGTATTTACTAGACACCCTTTATAAAGGGAGACAATATAATCGGAATTGAATTGCAGACAGGCAGAGATAGAGACAGAGAATTGAGTCAAGCGTGGTAGTGACTGTAAGTAAAGTGCTTGAATCGTTGTGAATTATAGCATGTGTTAAGTTAAACTGACTGTGGAAGTCCAGTTTTTTGCAAAGTTCTTTGAGAAAGAATAAACTAGTTTTATTTAAGAAAGGACTTGTATCACTAAAGTTTCATCCAAAAGAACACAGATGTAACAATACACTATGTCAAGATATTTGGTTACATCAAAATTACCAAAAATATCTTCAAACATATTACCATAAAATTCATCAACTTGAACTAGTAATTGTTCTTCAATTAAACTTTCTATGACATCTATCAAATTACTTAATACCACCAGTAAGTTATCAATTATTACATTGATTGAAATCTGCTCAGTCATATCTTAATACTTAATATTCAATTCTAACTATGTTATTCGATTCTGAGAAGAGATAGCAATAATTTACTTACATAGAGATTAAGTGGGAAATGTTGGAAACTCTTAGGATTGTTGTAGACATGATCAGCTTCTTGAACTGTCTCAACACGGGGTCGGTCAATTTGATCGAATCACATGACCTTTTGAACTCGTTTAAAGTCTTTATAAATTGAATACTTATAACTCTCAATATATTGGGTATATCTTAACGAAATTTGGCAATCTTTCAGTTAATATTACAAGTCTTTCACGTACAAAAAGTAATATTTTGTGGTAAAGTATTTTTAATAAAATAAAATAAAGATTTGTCCAATAATATATTGAGTATTTGTTTTGAATAGTCCTTGTGCAAAGTAATTTTCATGTTAAAATTAATAATATATAGTCATCTCAAAAATCTCAAATTTTATATGTTATTTTCTCTACCCTATCTCAAAACAGGATTGGTCAATTCGACCGACCTCGTAACCACCAAAAAAAATCGAAATAAACCAAAATTAACCTTTTTTTCTTTCTGGAATGACTTCAAATGTAACATTTGTTAATCCCAAGTAGCTCTAAGTTCGTAACATTATATATCTATTTATAGTTAAATTTTATTGTTTTATTGCCCTTTGAACCATGTCTAACTACTATCCGTGCCATTATAAATCACTCAGGGAACGTGCACCTTACATTACGCTATTGAATTACGTTACCCACGAGCTGCTTGTGTGTGTGCCTTGTGAACCATTTTATTTATAATATTATTATCACTTATCTTACCTAATCTAGTTTTAAATAACTTAAAAAGATCTGTACTATTAATTTTAGTTAATTTTATAATAATAAATAAAAAATTAATATGAAAAACAAGAAATAAAGTACTTAACCAATCTTCTTTGTTTTTGCCCTCGATTGTCGAGGAGAGTTAAGCCTGATTTTATATAGAAATTATAGTAAAGTAATTAAATAATGTACCAAAGAATTTAGACTAATAACATGCAAAAAGGAGACAAATTCACTTACCTCTCAAAATTTTCCTGGCTTTCTAACTATGCGACAAGAGCTATTACAAATTTATCCAAGCTAGTCATTAACTTTCCCACGGGAAGGATGTTGCTTCTCTGAGTGAAATTGACAATTATCTGTTCAGAACACAACATTATACAATACGTCATTTGACTTTCTATTGGTTATAGGTAGTATATAATGAAATGCAAGAGAGAACTATCAACCAATTGTGAAAGAAAAGATATGACAGGAGGGGTCTGATTTTCTATTTGATAGCTCTGTAACCAAACAAAATTTAAGGATATAAAAATTATGGCCTGGTTGAGCAATAACGATTTTATAGGGAGTATTTTACAATTAATTTTGTACATTTTAGAGGGGTGAAGGATAAAATAGAGATGATGACATGCTAAGACAAAATGTGTCAAGTGGGTCACACTAGTGGAAATTCAGGATTTTTTTATATATTTCCTTGTAGAATTAAGAACTTAAAACTTGTATACTATTCAAATATGGATTATTAGCTAAGATTTAATGCTATAATAATTGGTAGAACATAAACAAAAAGTAGTTTAATAAAAGTTTGAATGTAAGACACTAAAACCTTGTGTCATGCACAGTAAAGGGTACCTGGGGAAAGAGGGTTAAGCGGGAAACATTGAAAACTCTTAGCATTATTGTAGACATGATCAGATTCTTCAACTTCTCAATTCTATACAGAGAATTCTTTGCTGGAGAAATACTTCCAATAGCTGCTGTAGTGACTGACTTTTCTGGCCCAAAACATGGATTCTTCTACTAAATATTTTTAGTATCTTTACGACTTTCCAAATAGTGTACACATCTATCCACAAGTAGGTTTGACACTCAATTGGTTGATTTCATAATTCACTTATCATAATTCTCAGAACCAAAAACAAAACTAATTTGATGATTGGTCATAAATGAAGATAGTAAATTGACTGCTTACTTACTTGTATCTCTCCACACATTTTTGACATGGATCCTGCATCAAAGTTCTGATTCATCCTGTTTTTAGTAACTGTGCCCAAGTTAATGTAAACTTTTATCGTAATTTCGAGTTGATGTAGGTACAATTCTAGCTCTGTGGTCTTCACTTATCACATGCTGATTTTTTCCCACTGATGAAGTTGGCTAATGTTTTTGTAAAAGTACTAATGTCCAGTGTGAATCCACTGAAGTTAAATGGTTTGTAATATAAATGTTCCTGGTCAAATAACTGAAGTATCTCAATTAATAAGCATTATAATGATCACAGTTATAGCTTCCAAAGTTTATAGCAAACCAATAGTAGATACTGTTTTTTTGGCTCATTGCATTGATTATATATATATATAGCCGTGTGGAGAATTTCTCTAAATTTCAGCTGATGATACACTAGTGTTTATGTACACACATGTATTGTTGATTCTACAACTTTAGAGAATAGGTGGGAATTTTGAAATACAGATTTAACAGTATAAGTTATGTACATTTCTAGATATAAATTTAACTTATACAAATATTGATATTAAAATAAGTATATAATAGTAAATCCACCACACTTGAAAAAAACTGCTATTTCTACATTTTCTCTCTCGTCACACTAGGACCATGAAGAGGTTGATGATTTTTAGCCTGTTAATGAGCCCTTCACATATTTGTAAAACCATGGTGATTTAATGGAGTTGAGAAGAGATCTTGGGAAGATATTACAATGGAATGGTTATCCTGGTAGATTGTTTAACAAAATTTTCATCATTCATGACAAACGAAAGAAAAGGAACTAGGGTTAGTAATATAAACAAAGTTGTGAGGGAATTGGGTGTACCTATACATCTGACAGATGAGAATGGACCTTTGTCTAAATATCACTGTGAATTCTGTTTTTGATCAGACATTATGATATATAATGTGAATGTGTCGAAATCTGTTTAACCCTTTGACTGTGTCAGCTTTCTATGCACATGGAATTTTTGTGAGCCATACGCTGTATAATGGTACACTTCCATTCAACCTGTACAGGCAGTTCTTCATATTTGACATGCGTGATCACACTTGCTCACGAAAATGCATGTGAATTTTGCTTGAGGTGATTTGTTAATTGCTCACATAACTTTTTTCTTATTACTTGTGTTACGACAGCGGAAGTCACATGACGCTGGTAACACATAATGAATTACTCAAATGATCCTGAATTATCAGGGAAGACCGAGTTTGTTCAGGATGCCCTCTTTTTTTAGTATATAAGCCTGCGGGATTGAATGAAGAGAGTTTCGGGTAATTTGTGATTCTGTTTCTAGCTAGTGTGTGAAGTTATCAAGATTGGGAATCGCTGTGATTTATAGCGTGTATTATAAAAGTAGTTAATTTAAAGTGACAAGAAACGTAGTGATTGTGAAATTACTATGTACTGAAAGTTTGTATCGAG